TTGTTTTTAGACACTGGACATCATTTAGATCTTTTACAAATCCTTTATATTCATACTATTTCTCGCAACTTAGTTTCTTTGTCTAAACTTGATGTCGCTGGATACTCTTTTAAATTTGGAAATGAATATTTCAGTTTGTTTAAGCATAGTCATCTTATTGTTTCTGGTGTTCTCTCTGATGGTTTATACAAATTAAAGCTTGATAATCTTTTTGCTGAAACTCTGTTAACCTTGCATCATAATGTTGGAACTAAACGAAGTTTAGTGGATGAAAGTTCAGCTTATTTGTGGCATAAACATTTGGGACATATTTCCAAAGAAAGAATACAGAGATTGGTAAAAAATGAATCCTTCCTAATTTGGATTTTACCGATCTTGGTATTTGTGTGGATTGTATTAAAGGAAAACATACAAATCATACAATTAAGAAAGCCGCCATAAGAAGCACACTGCTCCTTGAAATAATACACACTGATATATGTGGACCTTTTGATGCTCCATCCTTTAATAAAGAAAAATATTTTATCACCTTTATTGATGATTTTTCACGTTATGGATATGTCTATTTGTTGCATGAAAAATCTCAATCAGTAGATGCCCTAGAGGTATTTATTAATGAGGTTGAAAGACAATTAGACAAAAAGGTGAAAATTATTAGGTCTGATAGGGGTGATGAATTTTATGGAAAATATAACGAAACATGATAATGCCCTGGTCCATTTGCTAAATTTCTTAAAAAGCGTGGCATATGCACTCAATACACTATGCCAGGTACACCGTAACAAAATGGTGTTGCAGAAAGGCGTAATCGTACACTAATGGACATGGTTAGGAGTATGTTAAGTTATTCTTCTTTACCCTTATTATTGTGAATGTATGCTTTAAAAACCGTAATGTATTTATTAAACAGGGTTCCTAGTAAGGCAGTTCCAAAGACTCCTTTCGAACTGTGGACAGGAAGAAAGCCCAGTTTGAGACACCTGTATGAGCTTGTCCTGCAGAAATACAAATTTATAATCCACATGAAAAGAAACTGGACTCAAGAACAACCAGTGATTTCTTCATTGGTTATCCAGAAAAATCTAAAGGGTATAGATTTTATTGTCCTAGAAGAACAACCAGTGATTTCTTCATTGGTTATCCAGAAAAATCTAAAGGGTATAGATTTTATTGTCCTAGTCATAGTACAAAAATTATTGAAACTGGAAATGCCAAGTTTGTTAAGAATGGTGATATTAGTGGGAGTATGGAACCACGTAAAGTGGAAATCCAAGAAGTTAAAATGAATGTTCCTTTGCCTCTAACTTCTTCTCAAATTGTTGTTCCTACAGTTGTTGAACAGTTTAACGACTTTCAAGTACAACAAATAAATGATCAAACACTCCATGAAGACGTTGTTACCAATGAACCTGCAATAGATATACCCCATGAAGAAGTAGCATTAAGAAGGTCTCAAAGATAGAAAGAATATGCTATTTCTGATGATTATGTGGTTTATCTACAAGAGTCAGAACATGACTTTAGAATTGATGAAGATCCGGTTTCATTTTCACAGGCCATGAAAAGTCATAATTCTGATAAATGGTTTGATGCCATGAAAGATGAGTTGAAATCAATAGAGCATAATGAAGTTTGGGATCTTGTAGAATTGCCTAAAGGTTGTAAAAGAGTTGGGTGTAAATGGATCTTTAAGACCAAACACGACTCAAATGGCAATATCGAACGATACAAGGCTAGACTCGTTGCCAAAGGTTTTACTCAGAAGGATGATATTGACTATAAAGAAACATTTGCTCCTGTTTCGAAAAAGGATTCATTTAGAATTGTTATGGCTATGGTGGCTCATTATGACTTATAGCTACATCAAATGGATATGAAAACTGCTTTTCTAAATGAAAATTTAGATGAAGAAGTTTACATGGACCAACCCGAGGGTTTTTCAGTTGAAGGAAAGGAACACATGGTGTGTAAGCTTAAGAGGTCAATATACGGACTTAAACAAGCTTCCCGACAATGGTATCTTAAGTTTAATGATACTATCACATCTTTTGGATTTAAAGAAAACATCATTGATCGATGTATATATCTAAAGATCAGTGGGAGCAAGTTTATATTTCTGATTCTGTATGTTGATGATATCTTGCTTGCTGCTAATGATCTTGGCTTGTTACACGAGACCAAAAAAATTTCTCTCTAAGAACTTCGAAATGAAAGATATGGGTGAGGCATCTTATGTGATTGGAATTGAAATATTCCGTGACAAATCATAAGGATTGTTAGGGTTGTCTCAGAAATCATATATTAATAAAGTTCTAGAGAGATTCAAGATGGAAAAAATGCTCTGCATCTATTGTTCCAATTCAGAAAGAAGATAAATTTAGTCTCATGCAATGTCCAAAGAATGAATTGGAACACAAACAAATGGAACAAATTCCTTATGCATCTATCGTTGGGAGCTTGATGTATGCTTAGGTTTGTACAAGACTTGACATTAGTTTTGTTGTCGGAATGCTGGGTAGATATCAAAGTAATCCAGGATTGGATCATTGGAAAGCTGCAAAGAAGGTATTGAGATACTTGCAAGGAACAAAGGATCATATGCTCACTTATAGGAGATCTGATCACCTTGAGGTGATTGGATATTCAGATTCAGATTTTGCTGGATGTTTGGATACTAGAAAATCCATATTTGGATACTTGTTCCTTTTAGCTGGAGGAGTGATCTCATGGAAAAGTGCGAAGCAGTCTGTCATTGCTGCATCTACTATGGAGGCTGAGTTCGTGGCATGCTTTGAGGCCACTGTTCATGGATTATGGTTGCGAAATTTTATTTCAGGACTTGGAATTGTTAATAGTATTGCCAAGCCGTTGATAATTTATTGTGATAATACTGCAACAGTCTTCTTTTCTAAAAACGACAAGTATTCGAAAGGTGCTAAACATATGGAATTAAAATACTTTGTCGTTAAAGAAGAAGTTCAGAAATAAAGAGTGTCAATTGAACATATTAGCACAAATCTCATGGTTGCGGATCCGTTAACAAAAGAATTGCCACCAAAGATATTTACTAAACATGTCGAAAGAATGGGCATTATTGAAAATTATCATTGACTTTTATGTAAGGTTTATGTTCTTTATATATTTGACACTTTGAGCTCATCTAAACAGTGTTTCTAATATATTAATGCATCCTTTTTATTGTTGTAGTATATGCATGAATGATTATGTAAATATTAACAGGATATGTCTCTGACAAGGACATTATTGTTGGACCATTATGATAAGTCTCATTATAGATCATGTTTAGTTTAAAACTAATATTGGGATGCATGGAAGGGACTATGTCAATTTAATTACGTACGACCGCCATGATCCTTATTAGTTTTATACTTAATGATGATTGATGGTTTGATCAATATGATGATGGAATTAGCCCTTATTAGTTTTATACTTAATGATGATTGATGGTTTGATCAATATGATGATGGAATTAGCTTACACTATACATATTATATTGTATTATTAAAATGATTGATGGTTTGATCAATATGATGATGGAATTAGCTTACACTATACATATTATATTGTATTATTAAAACATGATGTTAAATTATAAAACATGTGCCAAGTGGGAGAATGTTAGATTTTAGTGGCCCACGTTTTGTTTTAACCAACTTTAGTGATCAAGTTATTTTTTTCTCACGTTTTTAGTTAGTTTAAGAAACTGGTCATGTTTTATATAGTTATATAGCTACTCACGTTTTTATGTCAAATTCATATTGATCAATTAAGATAACTACTTACGTTGATGGAGTGTGAGTGATTATTCTATTTAAAGGCTTGGTCCTCTCTCTACCTAGTATGTGAAAATTTTCTCTCCATCAAGAAAATTTCGGAAAAGCTCAAGAGGGTTAAGGGAGAGAAACTCAAGTCTTCAAGGTTGTTCCTCTTGCAATCAATTTCTCTTCAAGCTTTAAATCTTGGATCAATGTACGTTTTTTCTTAATTAATTGTTCATAGTGAAAATCATTTGTTCTAAGATCTTGGTATAATGATAATCAAATGAAAATCATTTGTTCTAAGATCTTGGTATAATGATAATCAAATCAAAATCGAAGTTTAGATTGATTTGCCTAAATATAAATTAATTGGTATAATGATAATCAAATCAAAATCGAAGTTTAGATTGATTTGCCTAAATATAAATTAAGGTTACATATATATACTATAGCGCGAACAATAAATCAAACCGGGTCTCTCTAGACTTGAAGTTACTGTTTATACTACAATATTTTACTGTAACATAAATAGTAAGTCAAATATTACTATTCATACTACAATATTTACTATATCATAAACAACGAAACAAATCAAATGTATTAAAACTTAGGTCCTTTTTTAAGCATAGAAGAGCAAATATGATTTCTAAACAAATGTATTAAAATTTGGATCTCTCTTTAAGTATAGAGGAGTAGATATGATTTCTGATTTTAAGTATACAATAATTAAAATTAAATGTATTAAAACTTAGATGGAGACATGTTTAAAATGTAGTGCTTAAAAAAATAGGGGGCCCTGCTTTACACGGGGTAAGATGAAAATACATAGAGCTCATCAAGATTCATAATTTCTAATAACAATTAATAAAAAAAAGGATCGCATATTTCCCTCTTGTACAAACTTTATTGTCTATTTAATGTTACTCTTAAAGATTTATGATAAAAATTGGCTCGGCCAATAATACATACAATGATACTCTTGAATATTGTCTACTATATTAGATTATTTTCTAGAAGCGTTGAATCTACCATATAGTTATTCAAGTTAAAGTTTTAAGGAAAAATTACTTCAAGGCCCCAGAAATGAAAATCTAATGTGTCCCAGCCCTCTGTACTATTTCTAATATGTATAGCCCCACAACTAAAAGGTAAATGCAATTCAGCCCTTTTTACAAATTCCAAGAGAATATATCTCAAAAAACCCCAAACTACCCTCTTCTTCTTCTTCATATCCTTCTTCTTCTTCATATCCTTCTTCTTCAAATCTTCAGATCTTCTTCTTCAGAAGGTTGTGAGAGGAAAAGAAAAAACCCTCCTCTCAATTCCATGGCCGACGACATCGCCGCCGTTCTCAGCGATGTCGACGATGAAGATGCCTCCCCGGTCCCCGCCTCGGATGAACAACAACAACGAATACGCCACTGTATTCGCCACTGTGATGAACAACACTTCCTCCTCGGATGAACAGCACTCTCCTCTCAGTTCCTTACCCTCCTCTTCTCCCGCTCTCCCTCTCGCTTCCCCTCGCTCCCCAAAACCCCGAACCCTAGGCTCCCCTCCTCATCTCTCCTCGTTAGGGCGAAATCGAAGCTCAACGGAGCCCAAAACCCTAAGAAATCGAATTGTCGAGGAGGAGGAAGAGGTGGAGGAGGACTTGCCATGGATTCAGGATTTTCCCTCATCAAATTTAAGTGGGAAGGATTTCGGATCCAATTCGAAATCCTTCCCAAAGCACTCAAGTTAATCTCAAGATTTATTTGATATTCTCCATTAACACAGTCGTTAATTACCCATTAATCTAATCCTATCTTTACATGGATATATGATATTCAGGTTTTTGGATATGCTCGAAGATTTGCCAAACTTGGAATTGCAAATGCTCTCATTGGTGTACTCCGGGGAGGAGAACCCAGTTCATCTAGTTTAATTTCAGCATGCATAGCTTTAAAGGCAGTTGCTGTTAATGTATGTTTCTTTAGCCTGTTCTTTAAAAATCACAGGCAACATGAAAAGATTGTCTTAAGATAGTGACTCGATATCCATGAATCGCTTTTGAATTGTCACTTTATTCTTGTACATAATCATTCTTCTGTTTATCATTGAACAACACTTGAATTTTAAATGGTAGTTTCAACCATTAAGCGGCACATTCTCGATATCAGCTTTTGTAGACTTTCAGTAGGTTGCTTGCAGTCATGGTTTAGATCACAAAAGTCAATGTCTATACATCTGCATGTTAGCTAGCTATTATTGGCTATGACATTTTTCTTCAAACACCAGTTGAATTGTTAAAAATGTATGTACCAGAACTAAGCTTAGTGCTATAGTCCCAAATAAATATAGTTACTAGTCTTAGTTGTTATAGCTATAATGAGGGACTGTGAGGATGTAGGTTTGGTTTTATGCTCTTGCTTTATGATTGAACGAAAGTATTCATTGAAGAATAAAGTGAATTTATGTTACTTCAATTTTTATAGTGGTGTGTCATGTTTTGCAGTCTTAGTAATGTGATTGATATTTGGTAAATTGGAGTGATAAATGATGGCTTGTGATATATGTGGAGAAGAAGCAATTCCTTGATATCAAATTTAGAAGGCGCTATTACCGTTTGAATTAGACAGATATAAAGATATATAGTTTAACTTGCATGTACACACACTTACAATGTTTACATATGAAAACTATCTGCTTCAGATAAAGATATAAATGATATAAATGATGGCTTGTGATATTCAGTAGATTAATTATTAAGTTTTACCTAATACAAATGAACTATAGCAAATTAACTGTTAATGTTTACCTATTCCATGTTAAGTATAATGGAGTAAGTGTTAACTTTTTTCTTTTAAATGTTAAGTTTTGTTAATTAGCTGTTAAGTTTTACCTATTACATGTGAACTATAGCCGATTAACTGTTAAAGTTTAGTTATTCTATCTAAGTATAATTGAGTAATTGTTATCTTTATTCTTTTAAATGTTTAGTTTTGTAGATTAATTATTACGTTTTACCTAATATATGCATCCTATCCTTTTGCAGTTTGGCTTTGTACTTGTATAATGTTATGTGGTTACATACTTACATCCTCAAAAAATTTGTAAGAAGCTAAGACAACAAGGAATTGATGGGCCAAAACCCTCTTTCCTCCATGGTAATTTAAAGGACATGAAGATGTTGGCTATGGAGGAGGAGAGGAGAGATGGAGGAGCAATAATACACTATTATACTCCGCTTCCATACTTTGAGAAATGGAGGAAAAGATATGGTATGTGTTCTTAATTGCTTTCTTGTAAGAATCTCAAGGTTTTGGTTTTGGTTTTGGTTTTGGTTAGTCTACATGTCATAGGTCACAAGGAACTGCTCGCTGCCCTCATCCCCTTCAATCGAGCACGAATTTGTAACAACAAGGCTGGCATCATCAACATCAAAAACAAGTGAGTGAGAATAAAGATAAACATCAAATGAGCTCCTGGTGTTTGAAAGATTATAATTTTTTTTCATGCGTCTTGTTTATTTCTGAGATGAGAATGAGTGTATGAAGAGGACTATTGTAAGTGCATGTTATTATTCCTTGAAATCACGCTGATGGAATTTTAAGAACGGTTTTTTAAGGGTCATTAAGAAAATGGAACATCAAAATTTGAGAATATTTTCTCTTGTTTATGTCGAACCTCAGAACCCTATTGATCTCTTGATGTTTTGTTTAATTAACTGAAAGCATATGATAGCAATGGCTGAGGTCTTGAGGTTTTCCTATGTTTTGTTTTGTTTTATTTCTTTCTGTTTTTTAATGTTTTAATGAAAGAAGAGATAATGGTGCGAATGAGAAAAAAATGAGGGGTTGTTGTTGGCAGAGTTAATTTTGGTTTTGACAATGAGGGGTGATAATGACGATGCTGATGATGAAGGCCTGGGAGAAAAGGATTTGCAAGTGTTATGGACTTGGTAGGTTTTTAGAGGGGGTGATAATGACGATCGCATTAATATGTTAACTGTGTTTCTTTAAAGTAAAATGTAAAATGCAGCGATTCTATATCACGCTTATGTGTGAACATTCTCATTTAACATGTTAACCTTAATTGATAAATTAATAACTATATTTAGTAAATTGTTAACTATAATCCATTATTTGTTAACTGTTATTTATAATTTGTTAACTAACACTCTTATCCTGTTAACAATTAATTATTAACTGTTATCTGTAAACTGTTAACTATAATCCATTATTTGTTAACTGTTACTTGTAAACTGGTAACTATAATTCATTATATGTTAACTGTTATTTGTAATATGTTAATGGTAATCATTTAACGTGTATATGACATGAAATTCTTAGTTATCAGTTTACCAAATATAGTTATCAATTTACCAATTAAGATTAACATGTTAACATGTTAAATGAGAACATTCACACATAAGCGTGATATAGAACATGCATGCTGAATTTTACATGTTAAATGAGAACGTTCAGTAGATTAATTATTAAGTTTTACCTAATACATGTGAACTATTGCAAATTAACTGTTAACGTTTACCTGTTCCATGTTAAGTATAGCAGAGTAAGTGTTAATTTTTTTCTTTAAAATGTTAAGTTTTGTTAATTAGTTGTTAAGTTTTACCTATTACATGTGAACTATAGCCGATTAACTGTTAATGTTTAGTTATTCTATCTAAGTATAATTGAGTAATTGTTATCTTTATTCTGTTAAATGTTAAGTTTTGTGTTGTACATGTGAAATATAGATGATTAACTATTAACCTTTAGTTGTTCCATATAAAGTATAATGACGGATACCGACTACAACAATGGCATATACTTATGTTATATGAGTAGCTTAACAAGCGAACAAATAAAGTTAACATATTAGCTGGGTAAATTAACATGGTAACAAAGAAAGTTAACAAGGTATTTATGTAACTTAACAATCTAACTGCGAAAGTTAACATGTTACTTGTGTAACTTAACAAGTTAACAAAGAAAGTTAACAAGTTATCTGTGTAACTTAACAATCTAACTGCTAAAGTTAACATGTTATATGTGTAACTTAACAAGCTACCAAGAAAAGTTAACATGTTATCTGTGTAGCTTAACAAGTTAACAAAAATAGTTAACATGTTATCTGTGTAGCTTAACAATCTACCTGCGAAAGTTAACATGTTATTTGTGTAACTTAACAAGCTACCAAGAAAAGTTAACATGTTACCTGTGTAACTTAACAATCTAACATAGTAACTTAATAAGCTAACAAAAGTATTTCAATAGTTAATGACATATATAAGTATTTAAATAGCTAATAGGACAAATTTGTGCATCAATTTTATATCACATCAAAAGTATTTCAGTTCATATACACAGCTACTACATACATACAAAAGTATTTAGCTATTACATACACCCAAAAGTATTTCAGTTCATACATACAAAAGTGTTTCACATCCGCAACTCATATTAATCAGCGATCAGTTCGTTGCAAGTTGCTCGGTTGTGATAATCGGTTCGTTTCCCTCCAACTATTCTGCTCCAGCGGCGGGCCCCACCCTCTACTGTCGATCGCCGGCCATCTCCGAGTCCGATATACCACCCGACACAGATCTGAAACCCAATAACCCGATAAGCCTCATCTACCGCCCTTTGACTTCATCCTCATCGCCATTTCTTCACTGAGTTGGATAGTAGATAAATTCACTCGCCATATAGCTAATCGTCTGCAAGTGTAATCAGAGACGCTCATGATTTACTCGGGAAATATTACATCATTCTGTCCCTAGCAAGTTTAAATCCAATAACCCGCCGTTCCTGCTTGAAGAAGTTGAAGGAGGCATATAACTGTAGTTTCTACGGTGCATCATTCTGTCCCTAGCGAAGGGTGGAGTGGCCGGGCTCTCCCTGGTGGAGCCCACCCAAGAATAAAACGATTCTCTCTGGTTTAAAAAAACAAAGGTTTATGATCCAGAGACCCTGATCGAGCAGAGAATAAAGAGACAAGAGCACCAACCTCTCCATCTTCAAACCGTAGAGGAGTGGGAGAGCATGTCTGGCTGAAGCCTCTGCACATTGTAGAGCTCATTATCCTGTCCAAGTTCTCCCCTCACCATCTCTGCGCTTGCCATTTATTAAACATCTCCCGACTGCAATATAATTAGCATTCATTAATTAATCAACACGAACTTAATCAAAGCAACACCGACTAACGACCAATTGACCATTAACTAACCTGAATCTGATATTGCAGATCCAACAAGAAAACATCAAAAGAAAGCTTTTTTTTAGCTCAGATATTGCAGATCCAACAAGAAAAGGAATCCCTAACAAGGAGAGATGAGGAGGGGAGCCTAGGGTTCGGGGTTTTGGGGAGCGAGGGGAAGCGAGAGGGAGAGCGGGAGAAGAGGAGGGTAAGGAACTGAGAGGAGAGTGCTGTTCATCCGAGGAGGAAGTGTTGTTCATCACAATGGCGAATACAGTGACGTATTCGTTGTTGTTATTCATCCGAGGCGGGGACCGGGGAGGCATCTTCGTCGTCGACGTCGCTGAGAACGACGACGATGTCGTCGGCCATGGAATTGAGAGGAGAGTTTTTTTCTTTTCCTCTCACAACTTTCTGAAGAAGAAGATCTGAAGATTTGAAGAAGAAGGATATGAAGAAGAAGAGAGTAGTTTGGGGTTTTTTGAGATATATTCTCTTGGAATTTGTAAAAAGGGCTGAATTGCATTTACTTTTCAGTTGTGGGGCTAATACATATTAGAAAAAATACAGGGGGCTAGGACACATTAGATTTTTATTTTTGGGGCCTTGAAGCAATTTTTCTAAGTTTTAAACGATGTCCACCTATTTCCTAAAAAAATAAAAATTAAAAAAATTAAAAAACAAGCTAATTATTTAAAATTGTATGTAAAATATCCTAAGTTTATAGCGTCTTAAATACAAAAACCCAAAGTTTATCAACTAACGACAAATCAAATTCCAAACACAAGGAATCGACTTCAAAGTAGGGGTGGTAAACGATCGAATCGAATCGAATACTAAGGTGTTCGTATTTGTATTTGTTTAATATTATCGAATTCGAATACGGACTCTAATATTCATATATCTAGTTTTACGAATTCGAACTCGAATACTTGGTATTTGATAAATATTCATGAATATTCACGAATACTTATCGAATATTAGAGTATATTTATTCTGCTAAAAAAATTTGATTTTCAAATAATATTAAAATTCATAAATAAAAATTATTCCTTTTTAATATATGATGTATATATATTTAAATCAAAATTTTAATTAGAAAATAGATTTAAGATTATTTTAGACTTAAAATCAGTATATAAAAGTTAAGTAGAAATGATAAGTGAATTAAAAATATGACATCATATGTGCAATAATACAAATAATAAGCTGTGATTAAATTTTAAACGAATATTTAATAAACAAACGAATCGAATATACATCTGGTTAAATTCTATTCGTTAGTAAACTCGAATATTAAAATATATTTGTTTAGTGGTAAATGAACTACCTATGATCGAATAGTTATTCAAAGTCAATCGAATCAATCGCAACGCGAGAGAAAAGTATAGATCCCATTTGCCTCCGTCTTCTTCCTTCTGGAAATTCCATAATTCCAGATCTTGATCCACACGAAGTTCTAATAAGTCTGGTTAAAATCAAACCCCAACTCTCAAAATTCGTTCTTTGTGGCTCGCAGCTGGTTGCGATCAGCTCTCTCGAGGTATTTTGTTCCCAATCTCGAATCCCATTCGTTTGATCTGCTCTTTAGAATATTTTCTTGCTTAAAAACATGATTAAAGATGAAAGATGGCATCTTGTTGCGTAATCTTCGTGATTTTGATGACTTCAAGTTTAATAGACTCTAGCTTCTGATTGATTTTGTTTTCGCTTTTGTTCATCCGTGTGAAATTGTTCCCTAGGTTTAGTGCGTGGAGGAAAAAAATTGAAGTAGGCGTGCAAGCAAATGCAAACATCTGTTGCTAATGTGATTTGGGATTGGTTTCCCTTGATAAGTTTATAACCCTATGCATTCTAATACGGTAGGACATAATAGCAAACTTTATAAAATTTCTGAAACAATTGGGGCTCACATGTCATACACTTACAGCGTAGGAAATTTCCTACGCTGCCAGCTCACCTCCCGTTCTCTCATATATATATATATATATATATATCACTTTTTAGCTATGACCTTTGTGGTTCCTGGGCTTGTCAAAATGGGTTACTTTATTTTTGTCAGATGAGAAGTTCTGACTAGGGCAACGTTTCGGATTTGGATCCTGTTCACTACACACACAAAAAAAAGGGGAGAGACCACTACTTTTAATTATAGTCACCATTTTATTTAGTGGATGGTTCTGATTCGTTCCAAATTCTGATACATGCCATATCCTCTGTTTATTGCACCCGTCCCAATTTTTTTTCACTCAACGCGAATCATAACCATCAAGTTAATGATAGATGGCTAAGATCAAAAGTAATGGTCTCTCCTCTACTTTTTGATAGTGAACAGGATTTGAATCGCAACATTTCTTCCAGATTTTGGTTTGCGGAAGTCGTCATTAAAAGTAGGAGCTAATCATTCTAAAGCTGAAGCCCTTAGGCACCTTTAGGGCATGTTTGGCAACTGGTAAGTAGACAGAAAGCAGAAAGTGTAGAGAAAGTACCTTCTCAAGGAAGTACATTCTTCTCACTATCTATTTGTGTTTTTTTGTTTGGATGATAGAAAGTGAAGATGTAGAAAGTTGAGGTGGTAGTTGACGTGGCGTCCTTAATTTTTATAGGATTTCTTGTGACCAGAACCATTGCGGTATCATCCAATTGCAAATAGATCCCTGTAGTTCTATTTGTTGCGAATAGACCCCTTGTACTTCTGTTTGTTGCGAATATACCCCCTATAGTATTAGCCCTAGTAAGCTTTTTGGACTCTTTTAAAAATAAAAAAAATAGCAATTGGATGAATATCCTCACTAACAGAACTATAGGAGGTGTATCCGCCTCCTCAAACATTTTTTAATAATTTTAAGATTAAAAAATTCACTCAGAAGGTTTATTCGCAACAAATAGAACTACAATGAGTCTATTTGCAACAAATAGAATTAGAGGGGGTATGTTCGTAATTGGGTGATACTATAGGAGGTTTGTTTGCAATTAACCCTTTTTTTATAAGAAGTTTTAGAAACAATTTTTTTAACACATTTTGAACCATGTACATATAAGAAACTATTAATATGACATTTTTCCTCTAAGTGATTAATATGAAACTTTTAGAAGCTTGATTAAAACCTCGCAGCTAAATAAGAAGTAACAATGATAAGCTTCTATCATATGGAATAAATATGACTGCTCTATGCTTGTTTCTATCAACAGTTTAGCATATAAAATTTATCATCCAATTTTTTTTTAATGAAACAAAAGTCCAAAATTAGAAGGGACAAAGAAGTGGTTGCAGAGAATTATAAGTCTAAAGTGGTGATGTTGACCAAATCATAAAAATAAAATTCAAACAAAATTGTAAACTAATAAAAAGTGTGAAAAATAATTAAAAATTAATTTCTCTCTCCCCTCTTCACTTTTCATCAAACTCTCCAAATTTTAAGAAAGTAAAAAGAGGCTTAAAAGCTGTTGTGGCACACTTCACTTTCTATTTACTTTCCGTTCACTTTCTGTTGATGTTATGTAATCACACAGATAAACTGATAAGAACTGAGTTGATTAGGGGGCCGCTAACTTCTCTGAATATTTGGTTTGTAGTTGAGCTGTTCATCCCTGCACGTGTAGCAACTCGTAAGAAGGCGAAGTCTAATTCCCCCGTTGTTCCTCCGACGATTAAGTTAGCAAAGTACTTGAATGAGAAAAAATAGCAAAATGTAGCAACTCTTAAGTGCAGTGGAATGAAGAAAAATACAGAGAAAATTACTTACCTTGAATTGTCTTTGCTCCAAGGGTCCGACCTCATCTTAGGAGGGGGGCTCATTGAGGTGCCCCTTCTTTCGGACCATGTTGAGGCTTCTTCGAGAGAGGTGTTGTGGACCGTGAGAGCGGGTCTTGGTGCCGGTTCCTTCCGTCGATCCCTCTTGTCTGACCAATTAGAGCGGAAGTCGACTCTTGCGGGTCTCTCAGCCACTCCTGCCTTGCTGGGGGGCCTCTAGTCGACTTCGATGTTGGCGTCACTACCAGTGTTGTTATAGATGTCGCGGGTGCTCGGTGTTGCTGCTACTGCCTGCTGCTGCTGCTGCTTGAGGTTGCAACCGTGGATGCTTCTGTAGCCTTGGCTGTCGCCTTTATACGCTCCGGCATCCTCCATGTCCATATACCTGTGACATATGGCCATAGTTGTCATAATCGGTGTTGGCTTATGGCTTAGTAAGTTTCTAGTTCATTGTTCTATAGGCCGGTTACAAGAGCGGACATAGCAACTGAACTCCCTGGATCGTTAACCTCCACTCTCTTCGCCTGTAACCTCTTGAGGTAGGCTCAAAGGCTCTTTGTAGGTTCCTGCCTCATCTGTATCAACACGGGAGAGGGTAGCTTCTGTTTGGTGTCAGCCAAGAAGTGATGGATAAACATTCGGCTGAGCTGCTGGAAGCTGCTGATAGACTTCTTCTCAAGGGCATTCCACCAAAGCTTGGCGCTCCCTGACAAAATGATGGGGAAACATCGACAAATGATAGCTTCTAACGTCTGGAGCATGTTCATCATATCATAATAGCTCTAAACATGCTCGTCAGACTCCTTCGCCTTTGTACTTTTTCATGTGAGACATCTTAAACTTTTCACACGGGGCATTCATGAGGTCTTCGGTAAGGGGGTGTTCCCCCCGATGACTTTGGCGACTAGTATGTACACCCGATCATATCCAGACGCCCCTTGGGTGGCTGAGGGGGCTGGAGAGGCACGCTAATGACAGAGAGTCTTGGACATCCCTCCCACGACGTGCGGTGACTAGGGCCGGGGCTCTCGCCGATGGCTTCAAAGTGAGGGAGGAGGCGCTGACGAGGATCCGCTAGGCGAGTTGACTGGTGTGGTGGTGGGGTCGCGTGTTTGACGCGATCCTTCCGCTGCTTGGTGCAGCATGAGTAGTCCGAGGGGGACTACATGCTGAGCTTCTGAAGGGGGATGAGTCCCTGATCGCTGGTTTCTTGAGGGTGGAGGAATGGTGGAATTAGCTTGCTGCGATTGTGAAAAGCGGCCGAGGAACTCGCTGGTGAAGGTATCGAGTTGCTGTTGGAGGGATTGAGAGATCTTCTGAGCCATCTCTTCAAGCTAGGCTTGAGTGACGTAACTCTGGTGTGGTTCTCCAGGGATGATTGATCAGCCTTATGCTCATAATCAAACATGCTTGCTCGAAAAGGAGAGAAAGCCCTACGGTGAATACCAAATTGTTGATGTTATGTATTCACACAGATAAACTGATAGGAACTGGGTTGATTAGGGGGCCACTAACTTCTCCGAATATCTGGTTTGGAATTGAGCTGTTTGTCCCTGCATGTGTAGCAACTCGTAAGAAGACGGGGTCTGATTCCCTCGTTGTTCCTCCGACGGTTAAGTTAGCAAATTACTTGAGTGGGGAAAAATGACGAACTGTAACAGTTCTTAAGTGTAGTGGGATGGAGAAAAATACAGAGAAAATTGCCTACCTCCGTGTTGGGAATATTTTTTCCTTCTATGGTCATGAAGGAAGGGTATTTTGGTCTCTTCGGCCGAGTCTGGGCTGACGGTTGAGTCAGCGTCGACTTTACAGGTGTCGGCTGTGAAGTGGTCGCGGGATGGGCGTGATCACTTCGGCATTAATGAGGTGGGATAGGCGGCGTGCGATGCCGGCGTGGTCCGATGTGCCATAAATTAATACACAATTTTGTAGAAGCTTTTAGTTACCTGAATAACTCTAATTGACTAATGAAAACCATATAATATCAGTTTTTTAAATGTCGGCCGCCATGTTGGACATATCGCCCGACATGTCGGATTTAGGGGGCAACCGACACTATATGGGGCTTTTCAATACGTATTGCGTTTTCAGGATTCATGTTGGATATATCGGGGAACATGCAGATATGTCGGGCGGATATATAAGGGGACATGTCGGCTATATCGGCTGATTTTTCAATTTGAAAAATTGGTTGATTTTTTAGTTATGTTTATCTAATCAGGTTTGGGTATAAATTCCTAATTGTCTTAATATTGCTTCCAAAGACAAAACCCGATCAGTTAGGGGAAATGGAAAAAAAGACCAAAGTCATTTCTGTCGCTCCTCTTCTCTCTCTTCTTTGACATCTCATCGGTCTCTTCTCTGAGCTGTTCCTTCCACATCAATGTAGGGTGATCTTCTCTTTCTTTAACTGTCAAAATCGCACTCCTCTTTTCTCACATATTTCCTTCAATATCAACCCTAAGCATTATAAATTATTTACTTTTTTATATGCTTAGACAATATAATTTATTAAGTATGTTTAGATTTTATTTATGACATGTGTACCCTATATGCTACCATGAGAGTGATGAACCGAGACAAGGAAAAGTTGCAAGCTTTCTCTAGAACCAGTGTAGCTTATTTTAGGAAGGTTAAAAAAAACTATGATGCCTTTTCTTTTCTTCCTTTTTTTTGTCTTTTTTTATCTTTGATAAACAGAGGTTGCACCCTACATAAATCCCCTACACCTTGAGATAACTGTCAAACCCTGATCATTGTACCTAGTTTCTCTTACTATCAACTAGTGT